ACATGCATGAGCACAAAGTATGGTTTTCGTGAGATTGCAAATTATATAAAGTCAGCTTGTGGATCCATAGAAACCTTCGTTTACTATGCGCTCACGAATTTATTTCCTTCACAGAACACCAAGAATGGTTTAAAGAAATAAATTATTGTGCGTATTTTCTAATTTCCGAAATGGGACCTGTGCTTTAACATTATTGCTCGAATATAAGCTCGAATATTGATTACTTAGATACGCTGGAAAAGGATGAAAGGCAGTCGTTGATAGGTTATTGAGACCCAGACGATAGATACAAAGATATCGTTCGTACGCATTATTCGCCATTTTGCCAAATGCATGGCAAATGTTCGCAAGCGACAACAAGGCTTTGAACATTTCTTTGAACGTCTTCGCGTTAACTCTAAACGAATTCCATCAAAAATGAACATTTCGGGAACCGTCGTACAAGTATTGTCAGACCGTAGCACGTTTACGCTATTTTTTTTAACAGGTTTCAAACCTGCGCGTTCGTTTATTATAAGTTAGTTGTTTTGACTTGCATTTAGTATAAGTGGCGGATTTCTCCACCTCGGGGTTAGAAGGACCTCTTATTTAACAGCCAAACTCTCTTCCAAGATTACCTACGAAAACTCGGCCAAGGGCCAAAAAGAACGATTTCCAGTAGGCCTCAGTCAAAAAGTTTAACATTTAAAATTAACTCTGAATAAAATGACTTTACTTTGAATACCTTAATGGCTGGAACGATTTCGTCAAACCAAAACGGCAGAACGCGTTCCACTGTATTTTTTAAGCTTTCAGTCCTCGGAATGATGCTCGAATCTAGAAGCTGAATTGGGAAAAGCAAGTATTAGATAGAAAAGGCCATCTATTTGAAACATTCCTTACTAGAAGTTTCATCTTAATCCTCACTTTTAAATTTCCTATTCCCAAAGGAATATATGAAGGAAAGACATTCCCGTTTCTCGAACTTTATGTGAGTGAATACCACTTTCTCCTTGAGCATAGCATAGCTGAAGTATTTTTTTATTCAGGAGCAAAAGTGATCAGTTGCGGTCAAACACAAGATGTGACTCATCTACCATACCGAACTTTCGCAGCGACCACTTTTACAGGTTCTTGCTGACAGGAAATTTCAAATTTTGATTTCATTTTATAAGTGTTTCCAGCAAGGGAAGATGAATTTAACGTACTTTAGAGTAGTTGTTCTAAGACTGAATGTTTGACAGACTGTCTGCTCGAGAACGGACAAGAATGTCTGCAAAAACTATGCCACTTGACTACTGAAAGAGCAGATTGTTGGACAAAAACGTGATAAGGATGGTTACGAAAAAGGCTGGAACCCATGTTTTTTTTGGCTTTCAAAGAAGACAGAAGCGTTGAATTCTTTTGGTTTTGGGGATTTTATCCCCCGATACTATTTTTTGCAGCGAAAAAAGCTTTCAGATGACGGATAACTACAGCCATGTGTGGTAGACGTATTGTTGGCTAGCACTTAAAAGATTCCTATTGTTGAAAAAACTCTCCTAACCATTTGTGTACTTACACGTTTGAATTTACGGTGAACGCAGCTTTCCTAATGGAACTTCATGTGGTTTTTATAACTATCGGTCGTTTTTAAGGCCCTGGAATAAAGTTACACAGGACAAGGCCCGTTGTCCGAATATAGAACCCAGCTATTAGAATTCTGTCGCATCTCTCCTTAAATTCTCCGGTCGCTTAAAGGTTGTACTAAAACTCGAAATGACGAAGGAGTAACGTTGTCGTCAGTAATCTGCCACAAACCCAGGATACCTAAACGTCCTCAGCGGTTGAAAATAGATATGCTTCTCAAGGGTATGATGAAAAGCAAAAAGCTTGAGACAGAGCTGATGCGGTTGTTCACAACTTATCTCAACTTAATCCCCTCTTTAAAATAGTCAAATGAACTTCCGACCCCTCCCCCGCCTATACACGTTTTTCCTGTTAACAAAGTAATTTGCCACCCACGAAGAGAAGTCCTTTAATTGGGCAGTTAGCTTAGCATTGCTTGGCTGTCTTCATGCTAAGGGAAATCTTCGGTATCGAGTTACACTCTAGAGATCCCATATTCTGAACGATACACGGGGTGTATGCAGAGGTAATTGTACTGAGATTTTGACTCCCCGAGAGACTTTTTCATTAATAGGCAGCTGGAGTTTACTTGCAGAAATCTTAGTAATGAACCGTCATATCGATGCAAAGAAGATTTTCCGTTACCCTAGGCGGAATGATCACTGATGTCTTGCTGTAATTCCCTAAATGTTCCTTAATAGCGGACATCTTAGAATACACATTATGCCTCCAAATAATAAGTAACGTGAAATAAGTCGTTCCGAAAATAGACAACATGTCACTTAACTTTGATAAAAGGTGAAATACGCGATTTTAGCTAAGAAAAAAATCTACTTGCTTAAAAATGAATAGGGCTGTAAGAGTAGCAGGTCAATAAAAATTGTTCAGAGCCGCGCATACGGCACATAACGTTTGCGCTACAAGGAAGGGCTCTGTGATTGAAATGATGCAGCACTAAAGTTGGCGAGTGATTGTTAATAAACTTGTTTTTATCTAATCCATGTTTTATGTTCATGACCAATCCGTTTCTGACTGCTTGGAAACTATACAGTCTGATAATAAGAAGTTATGACAAGCTATATTAGTGAATCTCAAGGACTCTGCTAGATTTTTATATGGCCCGTTATTCAGGTGTCAAAAAGTAGTTTTTATTGAATACGTTGCAATACGCAATGCATACGGCATACGTATATACTTTTTGTTTTTCGAGACCGAGTTTTAATAATAAGGCTTATTCAAAATAGAGTATTTTTACGCCAGTTACCAAAACTTTTACATATTACTGCAGGAATCTAAACGCTGGACGTAAAGTTCATATTTCCTACATTACTTACAAAACCGCCTGTAAAGCGTCCGTCCAGCCGTCAAATGGCAAAGCTCCGTAGACATCACCAGGATTTCAGAAGTATACGTTTATCACAACTTACTCAGCTATTATCCCATGGTTATAGGGCTCAATTTGTAAAGTCCAGAAATAACCGAGATAAAACAAAGGGTTCCAGAACAGATTCATTTTGCTAAACGCTCTTTCAAAAGTCTTTTGAAAGTCGTTATAAGACAACGTCCATCTACACCCGTGCTTTTGAAAAACCAGGCTACACCTGCCTTACTCACGTTGGAACACCACTGCTATATCGTGTTCCGATGAGCTGTTGCATGCGCTGAAAGCTAAGACCTTTTGTCGGAAGCATTAGGCCGTAATTCTGTGAATTTAATGGAATATTAAAAACTGGGAAGGTTGCTTGCAAAATACAATCTAGACCAATCAGTTTACAAAATTTTGTCAGGGGCTTTTTCTAGCCTTTCGTACTAGACACACAATAGCAAGTTTAGCCGCAAATGGCACTAAAATCATATTTTCGCATCAATATGCTCGCTTAGTTAAATTATTGAAAATTGTTGTTGCGACCTTAGAGACGCTTATCTATAGGTCGCTGGTAAAAAGAGAGCTTAACATTAATTAAAAATAACGCAGATGAACATTACGAACAGCGTATCTTTGATCGCGAATGGGGTGACCGGAGTCAGTAATATCGATCGGTGGCGGCGGAATGTCATAAGATCGGCGCCAAAGCTTTACTTGGGCCTCTCCATGTTTCACTGCGGTTTCCGCCTTGTCAAGACCTTGAAGTGCCCCGTACATTCGTTCATTCAGACGCCAAGTCCTGAAGTACAAAGCCACTGTCTTACGAGTTGTCAAAGGGGATAAAGCGCAAGCGACTGAAGTAATCCATATATGCATGCATTGGCCAACTCCAAGACGTAGAAAGTGCTACGAGTAAAACGTGAATCCACTAAAGTATTACTTTTATTATCTCTCTCAGACTGAAGCCTTTAAACGTTTTACAATGTGCACCGGTTTTTAGATATAACTTAGCAGTCGCATGGCTTACAACGACCTAGTTGACTAAATTTCATTATAGTCGGCAGATGTCGTCGTAAAACTTATTTAGCTTCTTTGGCATATTTACACTAAAATCAAATTATTCATCTTGTTAATGAAGCGGCACGTTCATTTCCAACATGAAGAACAAAGTTCGACAAGAACACAGTGGTTGCCGTATGGATCTTGATAGGGACCGGGGATGGTTACAGGTTTCAACTCTATTCTGTAAAATACGATAAATATTTGCGATGTCTTGTGTGTCCAATAATATGATGTCCGTCCCCCACCAGCCAAGTTTTGGAAATATTTCCAAAGGCCTACACTTTTGTGGGCACTTTGAGTCTAACTGTCTACATTTGAGCTGATCAACACACTTGTCCCTTTTATCTCATTAAACGTATTGGAATGTGCTGAAAAACGGTAAAATCTGCCATTATAATTCTGGAATCCACAGTCCACAAGTGCTGGTCTGCAGTATGGCTTGCATAAGCAATCCGAAAATACGCTTTTAATGATTACTGTTGAGCATTGAGTGCACATTTGTCGTCCTTGTTATTTTTATCTGGCACTATATTGCTAAAAACACAGATTCGTATGCCTTTTTCAGCAAACCGCAAATCAAAATTTGATCGAACCATTTAATACGTACAAGTATTATTAAATGACAGATGGGTGCAAACAAAATCATATGCACTCCACTTACTTACTTATGTATTGGGATCCATAACAGTCCAAGTTCTTCGAGCACGAAATGGCAGGTCTTAATAGCACGGGTTAGGACGCTTGTATATGCCACATCGAAGCACATAGAGCGTTGTTTGATCATTTGGCCCGCTTGCTTTGCTTCGCATTCTCCTCTAGCTGACAGATCGGCGTCAACCCAACCACAAAATCTGTTGTCTTGGTTGTATTCGCTCTCACCATGACGAATGAAGACTACCTTATAGCACTGTGATTGGAGTGCGGCATCTTAAAAGGCAATTAATTAATTGGGTTATTTACACATTGGTTTCTTTTAAAAGCGAGGCAGAAAACCTGATTTCGCTCCACGATAACAGAAGATGATTTTAATTCAACCTCCTCGGGGATAGTAAGCGGAGCTTAAATCTCATTGGGCGATTGAAAGATCTGTCAAAAACAGCTTAGTTACTTGGAAAAATTGACGGGAAGAGAATACTCAAATGCAATTCACTTGACTGGATCTGAAGATTGTTAGACGTGGGCATTTACAATTTAGCTTTACAGGTTGCAGATTGAGAGCACAGTTAAAACGGTTGCATCATTGCATACATATCCTACAGGGTTAGAGACGGTTCATCTAATCTAAAAAATCATTAAAAACAAGGAGGAAATTTGGTCAATCGCTAACTGTTTGTGTCAGGTAAATGATGTTCATGAAAAGCTGGGCAAGGCCCGAAGACAAAGAAACACTTGCAGCGCATTTACCAGGATATGCGGAAGGACAGCTAAAGTAGAGTTCTTTGACAGAGAAACTAAACCTCGAGCCAGTGTCAGAAAAATAAAAATATAGGCAAAAATAATGCCAAAAAGGTAGGTGAAAGTAAACCAAAGAGGAGGAAACCCAAAAGCTTGCAGAGAAAGATAAGCATAGTTAAACTGGACGAAACGCATTGCAATGAACAAAACAATTTTTGATCTGGAAAATTGGGCTGTTTTTGCTTCGAGCTGTCGGAGGCACATTTAAAATATCACTGAATTGGACGTGATATCAGCAAACAACTTGCGCAGTCTAACGGTTTCCTCCGAATATCTCCAACACTTGAGACGTCGCAAAGAAGCCTTCTACAAACTAGGCCAGCGTGACAAGGTGAAGGACATCAATGTTTTAATAAAGAACGAAATTGCCAGACTTAACGGTTTATTCGTTAGTCAACTATTTTATACTTCATCCACCCCCTCCTCTCCTTTTCCTTCTGCTTAACTGTGGTGGAATGGCAAGCGTCTCACTGGTCAACGCAATATACTTAAACCCATTGATGTAGATTTAAACTCTTTAAATTTTATCTGTACTTCTAACGACTCCCATTCTCGCCCAAACGAAATTTACCTACCACCATGCGACTTTACTCCTGTGACTGTGACAACAGTGGAACAACATCTCAAAAAGATTCGCGGGTCAACGGCGGCTGGGCCGGACGGTGTCTCCCCTTTTCTCCTTAATTCTTGCTGTTCACAGATAGCTCCCGTCTTGACCCACCTTATTAATCTATCCTATATAGAGTCCAAGATTCCTGACGCCTTGCGTACAGTAAGAATTACTCCAATCCCTAAAAAATCTTTAACTTTTGCTCCTAAATCTTTCCGTCCTATTGCCTGCTCTTCCGTACTCCCGAAACTTACTGAACGAGTTGCATTAGATTCCCTTAAGTACTCCTCCGTCAATTTTTCTGATCCTCTACAATTTGCATACAAGGCAAAGTGTACCAACTTGGATCCTGTTGCTTTAGTTGTCTATTCAGCTTTGAGAGACTTAGACAAGGGATGCGGTGCATATGCATGTGCTTTTCTCGACTATTCATCCGCCTTCAATACTATTCCGCGCCAACTCCTACTGACCAAAGCCGCTGCGTGTGACGCTCCGAGCTGGGTTGTTTCTTGGCTTGGAGATTATTTTTCCTTCCGCACACAGTTTGTCCAGTCGGGAAAGAGAAAATCTTCTATAGTTCCAAATAATTGTGGAGTTCTACAAGGTTCCATCTTATCCCCTCATCTTTTCTATCTACATCCTGATGATTTGAGATCGCCAAACGACTGCCTGTATGTTAAGTATACCAATGACATGGTCGTCGGCCACCCGCTCAAAAACCTGACTCACCTACAGTCTTTAAAGGATCGCTTAGATCACGTCTCCACATGGTCGTTGAATAATGGACTCCTATTCAACAATCAGAAATCAGTACAGTGTGTGTGTTTCGATTGCGACACTCTCCCATTCCTGAACCTTTGGATATTCTTCCCAATGACGTATCCTCTTTCCGGTACTTAGGTGTTACCTTGTCCTCAAATCTCTCTTTCTCTCTTCAGATGGAAACCCTTTTAACAAAAATTCAAAAACTTGTTTATTACATTCGTCGTCTACGTTCATATCACACACCCCAGTCCTTCATCTGGCGATTCATAGATGGCTGTATTCTTCCACTCATTCTTTATTGTTCTCCAGTTATTTTTTCAGCTCTACTTAAAAAGATCTAATTATTTTTCAACGTGTCATTCGAATGCTCGCCTCTGCTGCTGGTGTTTCCTATCATATTTTAGTTGATATCATCGTGCAGCGACACTTCAATACGGTGGAGCAATTTGCTGACCGCATTCTGAATGACACCGTCCATCCCCTTCATAATGAGTTAATGGCTGCGAAATCCTTACGCGCCATGCGTCGATGCTTCCGCCACATCCCTTGTCGCACTTCGGCTTATCAGAATTCCATACTGCCATTTCTAGCCCGGTATCTCACCTGCAAAGATGCTGAAAAACAAAAGCTAAGACTCGATCTTGCACCTTAAAGTCCTTTTTTCTTCATATATAATTATGTCCACCTGTCCAATACCTGTTAATCTCTATGGTAATCACTGTGTACTGGAGAACCGTTTTTGCTATAGGTTTTGAATTTTATTTTCAAAATAAAGCATTCCTCTTTCTCTCTCAAAAGGAATGCCCGTGCAGAGGCTAAGCGGCTAGGTGAAGGAAGGCAACAACAAGATGAATGCTAAACAGCTCCAAAAGTGCCCGAACTCGAAGATTAAGACAGACAGAACGAAAATTGACTTAAATACGGTGGAAAAGATCGGAGATTGCTTCAGTATCAAACTTAGAGATTAAAATATCAAATGACGCTCAACAAAGCGCGTGGGAGGAATTCTTAGATCTGTGGGTGAAAAATAAAAAGAAATAACGGAAAAGAAATAATTGTAACTTTCACTCACGAGCCAAAGGCAATTGCGCAGAAGAATTCCTATCGTAATAATCTGGAAAAGATGTGAAATTCTTAAGATTTAACAGTTAATGTCAATTACCTTTATAAACCTGGGGCCAGTTCTTCGGCGCCGTTTTGTTGATAACAATTTTGATATCTGCAGGAAGTATGTGCTGTCGAATTTCCACAACATATTTAACTTAATCTTTCCTGCTATATGAATAAAAAGAAAAGGAACAGACGCTGTTCCACTATGTGTTTTCGTTAGGCGAGGATCGATTGGAAAAAATGGAGACCGTGATTTAGATAAAGGTAGCGAACACCAAGCAGCTTCCCATTTCAAACACCAATCGTCTGGTGGTTCATAAACGAGGCTGCATGAAAACATTCATCAAAATGAGCCCAGGGCCATTTCAGTAGTCCAAAAGAAAAGGCACGCGGAGAACGATATTCCTACGACCAACTTTTGCTGAACGTTTATACGAAGGGTTTATTAACCAGTGCCCACGAGTTCATTCCTACCTTCAAAGCCCGTTTGTGCACGACCGCTTTCAATTGTAAGATCCGAGATAAGTCGAAATTTGTTTATAATTGAAATATATGGCATATTTTGTATCAATTTTCAACCGATATTTTTTAGGTGTCGAAAATAATACATAAAGCCCTTTGCACTTGCTACAATTAACCATGACCGACGTTAAGCTTGCTGTCGACTAAGCAGATCTTTCGGCTATCGTACGTTTACAGAAATTTATCGAGAATCATGAACACATGTTTACGATTCTCGACTCATCAACAGACTCAAATACATACACGAGCCGCCTAACTAGCCTACCACAACTAGAATCGATTATACATTTGGTTTCATCAGAAGTCGCGGATAGATCAAAACGCAGACTCATTTTGATTATCCGCAATATACCCACACGGTTTACCCAACACCATCAATCCAAATCCATTCTTGTGGCCTAAACATCCGACTATCTGCTACCAAAAGACTTCACTCTAGAAGCAAAAATAAACCCCTCTTAGTAACCTTCTACTCACAGACCGAAGCTGAGCTTGTCCTACATAACACCGAGTTAAACAGAAATCTGTGGGACCGAAACGCCTTCATAGGTCCAGATTTGACACCGATAGATAGATAGATAATTTTTATTAGAGACCCGTCGGGGTCCCATCAAAGCAAGTTAAAATAAATTTACATGTGAGTTTTAGACGAGGTAGACCGAATCTTTACAAAATGCAAGTCATAGTTTCTGAATTAGAAGTCCATTGAAAAACATGATGATTGAGGGGTGAAAAAAAACTCCTTAGAAAAATTAAAAAATGGTTGGATTGATTTTACAGGAGAAAAAAACTCCTCCATAAAAATGATGACAGAAAAAAGCGAGCAGGACTGGCCTGTAGGTGGCGGTATATAATGGAATGTTGTCGGTCATCGTCAGGGTAGCAATAAATATCAGCCTTGATGGGTACGAATGTGGGTCAGACAGGACTGGCTTGCATATGGCATTGTATACGGGATTCACAATTGAGATCGTCTGGGCCGGATTGGTACGCCGCAAAGATAAAGTCTTCGGAAAAGGGACACCAGCTACAAACACGACAATCAACACTCCGGTCCATCAATTGCACCTGTAGCTAATAATAGTAATAATAATAATGTTTTTAAAGGCCCGTCGGGGTCCCATCAAAGTGAGTAAAATAAATTTACATCGAATTTTAGACGAGAAAGGCGAATCTGTACAAAATGTAATCCCCAGTTTCGGGATTTGTAGTCCGTCATGAAAAATGATTAGCGAGCGGTGGAAAGGCTCCACTAAAAATTTAAAACTGATTGAATTAAGTTTACAGGAGAAAAAATCCTCGCTAATAATAATAACAGCAAAATGTGAGCAGAACTAGCCTGCATGTGGCGGTATATAACGGATTATAATCGGACATCATCTGGGAAGAAATAAATGTCAGCCTTGAGTGGTACATATGCGGGTCAGACAGCACTGGTCAGCATGTGGTATTGTTTACGGGATTCAGAACTAACATCGTCAGGTCAGGATTGATACGCCGGATGAGACCTTTCGCATCCAAGAGGCCAGACGAGAGGAACGCAGACGCGATCGGCCGCAGTACGCTTCGAGCCCAGCCGACGAGTGGGGAAGAGAGGTACGACCAAACTACTAGTAGACGGCGAATGCCGAGGGCTTCGCCGTGAGCGTCGACAGACCGCATGAGGTTGCAATGCGGGAGATGACACCAGGAACCTCGAAAATCGTCGCTATGGGGGAGGAATGATAGCACTGGATTTAGAAACCAATTCAAACAGGGCTTCTAAAGATAAAATTGAGGGTTTCCACTTGATCTACCACTAAATCCCAGGAGGACCCTTCTCAAAATCAAGAAGCTGAGTTTTCGGGAATGATACCGTTAAAAGTGGCCTTATATTTTCTGGTGTAAGGCGTTTGCGTAATTTGACTTGGATCCCAGTGACTTAGACGATGCCCTAATTTCTGACGGAAGATTATTCCAAAGAAAGACATATTTGGAAGGAAAGAAGAGGGAGTAGTAGTGCAAAGGGGCGGCGGAATCACCATAGAGGAGTTGCGCGTGGCATAAGACCGATCTCTCGGAGTGAGAGTGTCAGTAAGCACAAGACTAGAGCTAGAGTTAATGCGTAAAAGGAAGCGAAGGCCAGCTTTGATTCTGCTTACCCGCTGCTACATCTATTTCTGGCAACAGTAAAAAGAAGTGCACAAACCAACGTAAACAAAATTTTGAAGAAGGAGACACGATCGCCGGGACAAGAGCTTTGTTAGCCTGACGTTTCGGATTCCTAGTCGAATCCATCATCAGAGACAAAAAAGCAGAAATGGGTGGTTGCTGCACAAGGGGCTGCGGTATTTATAGGATGCAGTAGCCATGCTACCGCATACCTATGAACATTCACGGCTCCCCCCTTCATCCGGGATCGTCGCACTTGGTGTGATCACTGCTTGATGGCCGACATTCGAGTCGAAAATTGCTGCAATTTCATCACGTGCGTTGGATGTTGGCGTGATGATTGCTCGACCATCTGACGTACCGACCCCCGTGTTGGGAAAAGTGTTCAGCTCTGCGCTCCCCGCATGGCTTGTTACTCCACCTAGGTGAAATTTTAGCACGCCGTATCTAGCATGCGTATCTACTGCGTGCTAAAATTTCACCTAGGTGGGGTAACAAGCCATGCGGGGAGCGCAGAGCTGAACACTTTTCCCAACACGGGGGTCGGTGCGTCAGATGGTCGAGCAATCATCACGCCAACATCCAACGCACGTGATGAAATTGCAGCAATTTTCGACTCGAATGTCGGCCATCAAGCAGTGATCACACCAAGTGCGACGATCCCGGATGAAGGGGGGAGCCGTGAATGTTCATAGGTATGCGGTAGCATGGCTACTGCATCCTATAAATACCGCAGCCCCTTGTGCAGCAACCACCCATTTCTGCTTTTTTGTCTCTGATGATGGATTCGACTAGGAATCCGAAACGTCAGGCTAACAAAGCTCTTGTCCCGGCGATCGTGTCTCCTTCTTCAAGACTACTTCCTGGGACTCGTCTCTTCGCTTCTATTGGTAAACAAAATTATAAACCCACAGTCCCCGTAAAAGGACCTCCAGCAAGTACTTCTGGCTCTATTTCTCTCGAAAAAAACGCGTAATTGCCAGAGCAGTTAGGACCCTTGGGCAGAAACAAACGAGGAAGGCACAATAGAACAACAACGTTTAACTAGAACAGAACGATGACGCAGATCCCGGAACCGGTCATGTGACACCAAAGATAAGAAGTTAATTTTTTCTACGCCTCTAAAACCGATCAACCAGTACTAGAAATCGACTGTCAAATAAGACACACAAACTAAGACATTATTAAGCACACCAGCACAAACAAAAACGCCCTCGGTAT